TCTTGTTGGTCATTTTGTTAGCGGCATATCAACTTTATGGGTTATTTAATACCGGAATCTAAATATTTTGTACACAATTTTATAGCTTCAACTAAATATATTTTGAAAGCAATTGTATGCTTTCAACTACTTGCAATAAATTAATTGACAATCATATTACTTGGGAATTTAATTATTTTTTGAACACACTGATCTCAATGATAAAATATGGTTCACACTTCACGCTCGCTGTATTCTCTAGTGAAGAATCAACACCGTAAAATTTACAATTAAATAAATAAATAAAGATATCAACATCGGTCTATATATCTGAAACATAAATGTTCTGAAATATTATTTGAGGAATATTAACTTCTTTAAATTCTGATTCCACTCGACTTAACATTTATCTGACACCTCAATCTTTAACGCGTGGTTCGTTTGTCGCTGGGATCATGAATATGGACACAGTTCCACTCGACTAAGCATCAACAAACAAATCATAATCCATCATCCGAAACAAATTGTCCTCAATGTCGAAGTAAATTTCAAGCAGATATCGGTTCCTTCGGACCACTGTTGTTAGCATTTATCTGAAACCTCAATATTTAACCCGTGGCTCGTTTGTCGCTGGGATCATGAATATGGCCTCTATTCCACTCGACTTAGCATCGACAAACAAATCATAATCTATCATCCGGAAGAACTTGTCCTCAATTTCGAAGGACATTTCAAACATAAATCGGTTTGTAAACAAAATGAATACAACAGGAGCTTTGATATCTTTAAAGTAAACAACCTTACCTTACTTGTGTGTCTAGTGAATAAAAGGATAGATATTCATATATTCAGCTGACCTCATTTTATGCCTTAGAAATTTCAACTCTCTGGTTTTAAGTGGAAGTGTCCGTTTTCATTTGATTTTCTCTAAAACTTCGACGTTGCTCACATTTTTGGTCCAGGGTATCCTTAACATACTTCTGAAGAACTTTATTTCTGCTGCCTCAAGTCTATTCTTTATCTGTGAGATCTTCCAGTATTAATATAGGAGGACTGATATTACAAAATAGTAACCTTATAATATTCTGTTGTATTTCAAACTGAATTTAAACTAACGCTCTCAGTCTTGACTCTTCACACACGGAATCCTCAAGTGGTCTCCAGTAGGTATCCAGCCTCTTCCGCTTTCACTATATTTACCAACGATATAAAATAAACTGTCCCTTTCAGGACAACACTCCACACTGACAACCAAATCTCTCCTTTTCATGTGACAGCTCTCTAGCGACGATGAAACTCATTATAGGGAGATGCACTCTTTAATGACCACGAAACTATTCTTCTCAGGACCATCGTTCTGTAGATACAATAAAACTGTCCGATTCGGAATCACCGCTCTATAGCAACCACGAACCTATCCATCTTAGGAGTATCGCTCTGTAGAGACCACAAAATCGTCCTTCAGAGAATCACTGCACTATAGCAAACACGAAACTATCCATCTTAGGACTATCGCTCTCTAGAGACCACAAAAATGTCCTTCTCAGAATCACTGCTCTATAGCAACCACGAAACTATCCATCTTAGGACTATCGCTCTGTAGAGACCACAAAATTGTCCTTCTCAGGATCACCGCTCAATAGCAACCACGAAACTATCCATCTCCTGACTATCGCTCTGAAGAGACCACAAAATTGTCCTTCTCAGAATCACGGCTCTATAGCAACCACGAAACTATCCATCTCAGGGACTATCGCTCTGGAGAGACCACAAAATCGTCCTTCATAGAATCACTGCACTATAGCAAACACGAAATTATCCATCTTAGGACTATCGCTCTGTAGAGACCACAAAATTGTCCTTCTAAGGAACACCGCTCTATAGCAACCACGAAACTATCCATCTTAGGACTATCGCTCTGTAGAGACCACAAAATTGTCTTTCTAAGGAACACCGCTCTCTAGCAACCACGAAATTATCCATCTTAGGACTATCGCTCTGTCGAGACCACAAAATCGTCCTTCATAGAATCACTGCTCTATAGCAACCACGAAACTATCCATCTTAAGACTATCGCTCTGTAGAGACCACAAAATTGTCCTTCTCAGAATCACTGCTCTATAGCAACCACGAAACTATCCATCTTAAGACTATTGCTCTGTAGAGACCACAAAATTGTCCTTCTAAGGAACACCGCTCTATAGCAACCACGAAACTATCCATCTTAAGACTATCGCTCTGTAGAGACCACAAAATTGTCCTTCTCAGAATCACTGCTCAAAAGCAACCACGAAACTATCCATCTTAAGACTATCGCTCTGTAGAGACCACAAAATTGTCCTTCTCAGGATCACCGCACTATAGCAACAACGAAACTATCCATCTCAGGACTATCGCTCTGTAGAGACCACAAATTTGTCCTTCTAAGGAACACCGCACTATAGCAACCCCGAAACTATCCATCTTAGGACTATCGCTCTGTCGAGACCACAAAATCGTCCTTCTCAGAATCACTGCTCTATAGCAACCACGAAACTATCCATCTCAGGACTATCGCTCTGTAGAGACCACAAATTTGTCCTTCTAAGGAACACCGCACTATAGCAACCCCGAAACTATCCATCTTAGGACTATCGCTCTGTCGAGACCACAAAATCGTCCTTCTCAGAATCACTGCTCTATAGCAACCACGAAACTATCCATCTCAGGACTATCGCTCTGTTGAGACCAAATAATTGTCCTTCTCAGAATCACTGCACGATAGCAAAAACGAAACTATCAATCTTAGGACTATCGCTCTGTAGAGACCACAAAATTGTCTTTCTCAGAATCACTGCTCTATAGCAACCACGAAACTATCCATCTCAGGACTATCGCTCTGTAGAGACCACCAAATCGTCTTTCTAAATAACACCGCTCTATTGCAACCACGAAACTATCCATCTCAGGACTATCGCTCTGTAGAGACCACAAAATTGTCCCTCTCAGAATCACTGCTCTATAGCAACCACGAAACTATCCATCTTAGGACTATCGCTCTGTAGAGACCACAAAATTGTCCTTCTCAGGATCACCGCTCTATAGCAACCACGAAACTATCCATCTTAGGACTATCGCTCTGTAGAGTCCACAAAATTCTTTACCTGGTTAAATGTTCCTATGCCTCTCGGGCAAAAATATGCAAAACTTATCACCATCGCGGAATGGATGTTCTGGTCGTGAAAGGTACATCAAATCATTTTCTATGGCCCTCATATTCCTTTCAACTTGGCTATGAACTTGAGAAATGTTTGAATGAAATTCCTTCTTACCAATTATATTTAGTTTTTCAACTGGTGTTCCTTGTTTCCAATCAGAAAAAAGTTATTGGTCAGATATATGATAGCATTGCAATTGGAAGCCTTCTGAATTTTGACGACTGGTTTGGCTATTTCAATAACAAAAAGAAAAATCCTACAAAGAATAATAAAAAGATTAGTCCTATTATACATTCCTCTAACTAGCAAATACACCCGAGATATCTCTGATAATAGCGTTGAGTTCTTTAAAGAAAAATTATTGCCAGTTACTTCGTTATTCATTTATTGTGAGAACGATCTAATGTGCAATCTGAATTTCATGCAGGGAATTTGGGCTTTACCAAGAGAAAAACACGGGGAAAAAATCTGGGAAATGTGTTGGCCTATATCTGCTCATGCAAGTCATCTTCGATGTCACCGAGATGATTATGTTGCAATTTGGAATTCATTTCTTAATAAATTGGGGCTTTAATTGTTAAATATCTTTTATATCTAACATCATTATATTACAGTAATACAAACAGAAATATCAAATGACCATTTATATATTCTTGTAACTTGTTAATACCAAAATTATATATAGACTAATATGCAAATAAGAAATATATTATATTGAAGACTATTTACCTTTAAGCCGAACAACCATTGCTTCCATTTACAGAGATTGTTATGGGGTCCGCCCTTTTTTCATATAAGTGAACTCTACCAGTGTTACTTGGACTGCTGGCCGTTAAATAGCCAGAGTTAGACAGTCAGTGGTAGTAGTAGGAAAGAGAGAAAGAATATACGAACTGAGATAGTGTGAGGTAGCCTCTTGTAGAAGTCAGTTACAAGCACGTAGACTCTAAGGAAGTCCTACTTCGAGACTGTATATATCCATCTGTATTTGCTACTAACCGCGTTCCTGGACTTACTAACAATATATGATTGTGTAAATGCATTTTATTTCATATATTTAATTATTGAGTTTGTGTTAATAAATAAATCAGGAGAGAAGAAGGGGGTTCATGCCTTTCCCAAGGGTATTAGCACGTAATGGATTCGACTGGAATTTGAAACTGGCTCTCCGATTCCTCAATCCGAGCGGCTATCCATTACTCCACACTGCCTCCTTTTTATAATAAATTATTTTGTTTGTGTTAATAAATAAATCAGGAGAGAAGAAGGGGGTTCATGCCTTTTCCAAGGGTATTGGATCCGACTGGAATTTGAACCTGGCTCTCCGATTCCTCAATCTGAGCTCCTATCCATCGTGCCTCTCCGACTTAATGTCTATTGATTCTAAAACCTTCAGTTATCGACTGTCTCAATTAATCGTTATAATTATCACATTTTACGCACCTGAACGAGTGAAGCCATCATAATTAGCATTCAAGGTTCCTATCTGGGTCAAAATACTTGCTAGTAACGAATAAAAGACATGAATTAGATTGAGTCAGAAGTAATTTCCGTTTTGGGGAATCTTTTGTAATAGTGATTGCTTCATTCTCAATTACATATGACAATTTTAGATGCAAGAGGGAAGGGACTGATGAGGATAAATCTCTACAATCGACCCTAAAAGCTGAGATCGATGAAAAAGTTAATGTGCGTGTGTTGGACGGGGTTGCTGGGATCGCTGATTATTATTATTATTTGTTTAGGATGCTTAAAAGGGAATGAAACGCTAGATGCTTATTTATACGCCCAGCAGCTACAACATGTACTCATCAACAGAAAGCAATGGTTGATTTATTCGATGAAAACGGAGGATAAAATATTCAGCAGCTTTTAAGCTTGTTTATTTTTGTCTTAAAAATTTTCTCTCTCTCCCTTTTCCTCTTTCACTTTATTTCCCCCTCGCTCTTTCTTCCTCTTCCTCTTTTTCTACCTCTCACTCTTTCTTTATTTCCATTCTCCCCTCTCTCTCTCTCTTCTTTCTCTCCATTTCTCTCTTTTCTCTCTCTCACTCACTCTTTCCCTCTCTCGCGCGCTCTCTCTCTCTCTCTCTCTTTCTCAATTTTTCTCCCTCTTTCCTTTTTTTCTCTCTCTCTCTCTCTTTTCTCTCTCTCCTCCTCTTTCCCTTCTCTGTCTATCTCCATTTCTTTTCTTTTTTCCATCCTTTCTCTCTGGTCCAAAACGGAAGTTCCCCAAAACATGTGGACCTGATGGTATTCCTACAATAGTCCTTAAGAAATGTGCTCCAGATCTGGCTCCTGTTCTCTCTGAACTTTACAATAAATTCCTTACTGCTTCTTGTGTTCCTGCCGATTTAGAATGGATATTGTAATATATGAATTGGTTATAGAGAAATTTTGTAGATAGACAAACATAGACAAACTTAGAGGAATATTTTCTAAAGAATTAGTGGACGATATTCCATCTTTCTAGAAATAAAGATCTGAAATTTCATCATTCTAAAAACTACATTACGACCAGTTATAATTTATGATGAGGATATCTCATCTTTTGAGAAATAAGGATCTAAAATGTCATCATTATAGAAACAACATTTCCACCAGTGATTAGTCATGATGTTGATATTTCATGTTTCCAGAAAGAAATATCTGAAAATTCATCATTCGAAAAACGACCTTTCTGTCAGTGATAATTCATAATGATGCTATTCCAAAAAAAATTCAAAAAATAAATGTCTGAAACATCATCATTCAAATGTGATAATTCATGAAGACCATCTTTCATCATTCTAGAAACAAATATCTGAAATTTCATCATTCTTAAAACGGAATTTCAATCATTGAGAATACATTATGATGATATTTCATTATTCCAGAAATAAATAAATGAAATTTCCTCGTCCTAAAGCGATATTTGCGACAGTCATAATTCATGATGATGATATTTCATCATTCTAGAAATTTCGTCAGACTATATACTCTCCTGAGAAGTAAAGTTCTGGTAGTCGCTGGAGATCGTTGTCATCACAATAACAATTTCGTGGTGACTAGGGAATGAATGTCATTTCATTGTCGCTAGAAAGCTAACAAGGACAATTTAGTTTTCGCTAGAGAGCAGTGTCTTGAGAAGGAATATTTCGTGGTCACTAGAGAGTGGATATCCCCAGAATGAGAGTTTCATGGTCGCTAGAGAGCTTTGGTTCAGATAAGGAGAGTTTTGTTGACGCTGGAGAGCAGTGACATGAAAAGGACTGTTTCGGTTGTCTCTGTAGAGTGTTGTGCTGAAATGGACAGTTTATTGCATATTGTTGGCAAACATAGTGAAAGCGGAAGAAGTTGGAGGCCTACAGGAGATGGCTGGAACTGGAGGTCTACTGGAGGTCTACTGGAGATAGCTGGAGTTTTCCGTCTGTGAAAAGTCAAACCTGGGAGTGGTAACCATTCCAATGAAATTAAATTCAATTTGAAATTCCATAAAGTATCTTAGAGATACAGAAGGCGCTTAATATCTTGTAACATCAGTCATTCTACATGGTAATTGTTGTGGATTCCGGGATGAAATCCGGTCTCAAATGAATGACAAACACAGGAATGAAATATAGCAAATAAATGTATTGACGTAATAATACAATTGGTAATACGGTTAGTAGATCCAGAAATGCGGTTAGTAGCAATAATAATATATATACAGTCTGGGAAATTCAGTATCGAAGTATGACTTTCTTCTGAGTCTGCGTGCTCGCAACTGTGACTCCTACAAAGGCGGTTACCTCACAATCTCACTCTCTCACTGTATCACTGTTACCTCCGGGTATTCATCGGCAGCAGTACAAGTACACACTGGGCGAGTCCACTTGTATGAAAAAGGGGTGGACCCCTTAAAAGTAATGAATGCTGGAAAATCTCCTCACAGACGTAGAACAGGCTTGAAACAGCAAAAATGTTCTTCAAAAGGATGCTGAGCATACCCTGGGCAAAACATATGAGCAACATCGAAGTGGCACATTAGTGGCTTGCGCGGAGGGAAGCTTAGTAATTCACTATGTGGTTTCTAAGTGTAAGCTAAATGAGGTTTTATTATCTAATAAAGCAGTATATATCTATATACATCTGGATAAATTAGTGTTTCCGACAGGTGATAAAATGTGCATTGATAATAAATTTCATTAAAGAAACGACTCGCTGTTGATGTTAAAATGTTTATAAAAGGTGATGTAATTCACTACACAAAAAAGTTATTTTGCTTAATTTAAATATATACCAAATCTTGTATTTATTTTGTTTACAAATATAAATAGAGCAACCATCCAAAAATTAGGAGAAAGTTGGAGGTACTTAATTATCCCATTGGCAAGGATGGTGGGAGCAGAAGAAGCTGGAGTCCAACTGTATTTTGATTAGCTTGCAAGTGGTCTGACACACAAGTAGAGTACTGTAGCTACCAAGTTAAAACTAATTCTGAGTCGCTTAATGGGTGAATAGAGACCACTTATGCAAATGTGTTTGGCAGGTCCATTCTAGCAAGATGGACCAAGCCACCTGCAACATTACACACTCTCCTATAAAAATGGAGTAACATTAGCTGGCTTGCTTTTTCAAGAAGCCACAAGAAGGCAGCCATATTACCAGGTAAGTCACAATCTCCCCCCTCTCCCCACAGCGTAAGCATAGTGGACGTTGTGAAGGAATCAGTTCTCTATTGCCTGGCCGATTGTACGGGGGTAGTCGGGATAACGCCCTGGGAATCCTGGTTCTTTGATGGCGGTGATTGAGCAGGGCCCTGTGATGCAATGTAAGGCCACCATGTCTTGATTCTTTAGCAGATTGATGTGGTCTACACATATCTGTAGTTGTCAGCTCAGGGAACACAGGCAACGCGCTCGGTATGGGGGGTCTTGATTATGGGCGCTTCAAGTTTCCTTAGGAACCTACGGTTCCGCAGGGTTATGCTGCCAGGTCCTGCAACTCTAAGCCTATAGTGACGGTTGGAAAGCGTCTCTACTATTCGCCCAGCTATGTGCCATCGATGGGTTTTGAATGGAGAATGTATCACCCTTACGAAGTGTGGATACAGCATGTGCAGTACGGTTGTACCTCTCAATGAGGGCCTGCAATGCGTTTGGATAATGTCTTTTCATGTTTTGGGGCTGCGGCTATCCACTCAGGGTGTGGTTTATATAAGTGTGGGTGCGATGGGATAAAGTCCCGAAGACGTCTATGAAGCAGGAGTTGCGCTGGTGATAAGCCAATACCTTGGTAAGGAGTGTTTCTATATTTCAGGATTGCTTGTGCTGCCATGTCATTGTCTAAGGAACCCTGGCGCCCTGTGCAGTGCTTACAAGTCTTTTTGGCAGTTTTGACTGCTAACTCTGCTCGTCCGTTAGACTGTGGATAGGCCACTGATGAAATTCTTTGTTTTAAAGCCAAGGTTTTTAGGAACTGTTGGAATGAGTAAGCTGAGAAGGGCTGCCCACCATCTGTACTAAGTTCCTCAGGCGCACCGTATGTTTGGAATATTTCTCTGCAGATGGATATCAACCTGGAGGCAACTGTTTTCCCTGGCGTAATGCGGTACAGAATGAGCCATCCAATGAGCCTGTCTGCACAAGCAAGATACGTGAAGGATCCAACATAGAACAAATCCATTTGTTGAAAAGGTCATTGAGGTGTAGGTGTCATGTGGATTGGTTCATGTGGTAGACTTGGGGCATCCCTTGAACATATAATGCAATTATCCCTGCAATTGCGAATTGAGGCATTCACCCCAGGCCAGTAGACTGACTCATTGGCACGCGCTTTCATGCCAACTACTTCTTGATGAGCTGAATGTACTACTCGTCTGTCCAGTAAAATTAGGCCATTGTCATTGCTGAGGCGGTTACGAACTTCACAGTATTCCCGGATTGTAGGCGGCGTTGTTTGATGACTGTTTGGAAAACCGTTGTCTATGGTCTTGCCTAATAAGGTGTATTGTGTGTCTTTTTGACCAACAAAACGAATGTGGTCAGTGGATGTTATGACAGGGTTACTATCCAATTACTATATGGATGGGAGGGCTGTCAGTCTCATTACTGCATCCGATTCATCAATCTCTCTAGAGGAGGGTCCTATGGGTAGTGTATCGATCAGGCCTTGTACTATAGTGACTGGATTGCGGGAAATAGCATCAGAGGCCCTATGTCATTTTCCAGGGCAGTGTTGCATGGTGAAACGATATCTCAAGCTTTTTTCTTTGAGTCGGAATCAGCGTGGGTTGTGAATTTTGCTGAGATCTCGATCACCAAAATGTCCTTTGAGTGGCTCATGGTCGATTATTACTATAATGTTTGGGTAACCTAGTAGGAACATGCGGCACTTTTCAAGTGCCCAGCTGATAGCTGCTGCTTCACCTTCTATGTGTGCATATCTTTGTTCAGCATCAGTACAAAATCTGCTCCCGGCGAACACAAGGTGCCAGCCTTCAGGACAACAGACTGGGGCTCTTTCGATTGCGCAGGTATATAAACCTCCCCCCACCCTGTGATAAAAGTTGTGAGTAGTTGGGACTCTTCATCTTGACTGCTGTACAATGTTGGCAACACTGAACTGCGCAATCACTGAAATTTTCGTACTGATCTGCGCAATGTAAACAAACTGGCGCCATATTTGTTATCAGCACGGTGATTTGAGCGTGCTAAATTATTAGAAAAGTTAAAGAATTTAGTGAAAAGATGGGCCGTAAAAGCAGTTTAAGTGATGCTGAAAAGAAACCTATCACCTCAGAACACTCAAAAGGAAAATCCAACCTAGAAATTTCTAAAATGATAGGGAGGTGTCATCAAACAATGAAAAGGTTCACCGCCGACCCTACACAAGTACGCAAAAGGGTAGATAAAGGCAAGCCGAGGGTTATTTCACGTCTTCTTATGTCACAACTTAAACGGGAGGCCACGAAGAACCCTGGAATTACCAGTCAAGAGCTTTTCAGTCGCATTGGGGATCCTACTGTTTCTAAAAGTACTCGGTGTCGGTATCTGAGGGAAATAGTCAAACCTGTATCGAAGCCTTCGTTGACGAGAAATCACATTCAAAATCGATTGAAATGGGCCGAGGGCAATATGAAGATTGACTTCTCTAAATTTTGTTCACAGACAAAACTCGAGTAACACTTGATGGGCCAGATAGATGGTGCAAAGGCTGGGTAATGAATGGACAGAATCGCCATCAGAGTTTAAGACGCCAACAAAGCGGTGGAGGCATAATGATCTGGGGTGGTATTATTGGAAAAAGCATTAACAGGCCCAGGGAGAGTTCAGATTGCGTCAAAATGACTGCTGATGCATACATAGCGTTTATGAAGGAGCATCTTGAACCGTGGGTGAAAAGGCAAAGTGTTGACTTCAGAAGGGCCATTGTTTTTATGCAAGATAATGCTCCCTCACTTGCTGCTCACAAGACTACTGAATATTTGAAACAGTTAGGCTTCGATGGACCTCGAAAAATGAATTGGCCAACAAATTCTCCGGATTTGAACTCAATCGAAAACTTTTGGAGCATCATGAAGCGAAGACTGTATGCCAATGGACGACAATTCAGGAGCAACGCTGAGTTGTGGGAAGCAATTCTTGACATACCTCGCGGCATTACAGCAGATGACATCCTACAATTAACAGATTCTATCGATCGTCGACTTCTTCAAGTAATTTCAAAACAGGGAAAGTACTTTCCCTATTAATTTGTTTAAAACTATGCCTTTGTTTGTATCTGTTATTATTTGTTTGATTATCTTATTTATTACCTTCTTTTGATCATAAACATTCACGTGCAACATTGTTTGGCACGCAATGTAATATAATTGAGTGATAGCCATCGACAGCATCAAGTACTGTTCTCTCGGTATTGGTCTGTGTAGGGGGGCATGTTTGTCATTCGTACAAAAACCTCCCACTCAATTCTGAACTTTCTGAACTGTCATTATTATTTCATAAAACATGTATGAATGAAAAAATGCTGCCTAAATACACACACACATATATATATATATATATATATATATATATATATATATATATATATGAAGGAAGACAGCAGTTGTTTTTCTTTGGTTGGTCGATAGGAGTGCAGGCTGGTCATTGCTTACTGCTAGAGAGTAGGCAAAATCAATTGGTGGTAGTAGGAGGTTAGTAGTGATCAAATCAGTGATTAACTCTTGCTTCGCACTGTGTGACGTATATCTGTGTGGCAGTTTCCTTCATAAAGAACTCCGCTGGTATGTTTTTTTCTTCGTTTTTTTTTCTGACAAAATACACGTCTTCGAACTGTGTGAGCAACAATTTGTTTTGAGATATATGCAAAGCAATTTAGCAAGTCTATCTAAGTTATATCTGTCTTGTTAATGTTTTGTTTATTACAGGTGTGTTTCTCGCTTTTCGATACTCACATTCAGTTTTAGTTTGTCAAGGGGTACGTTAATGCTAATATTAACATTTGGTGTACAAGAAAGCATTATTGTTCCTAAAAACTAAACAGACGGTAAATTATGATTGGTTTATAAACAAAACCTTAATGTAATTCTAGAAAAAAAAACGTTAAAAATGTCATAATAAATATTTGGGGCGTGTATGTCGTCTTTCCATATTTACCTTCAGTGTTAGTTTGTCAATGTCTACAATAATGCTAATATTAATATCTGTTGTAATGGAAAGCATTATTCTTTCTAATCATTAAATAGACGGTAAATCGTAACATCGGGGATGTAACAGTAAGAGATAGATCAAGTATCGACCATCATAAAGACTGAAAAATAAAATTGACAAAGATTATTGTTTAAGGTTGACGGACACGCATATCTTAAATAGTTCTTTTTTTTTTTTGCTTTGTTTTTTTTTTTTTTTTTTGTGTTTTTACGAATTGGCTAAACCCAAACTCAAACAAAAACATTATTTTCAATCGTTATGAGTCTACCGATTGAATAGAATTTTATTATAAACAATTGTCTTGTAAATGGAATTTTTAAAGCATTCTGAATGTAAAAATAAAGAAAAAAGTGTGCAAGACAATAAGAAACACTACCTGCCAAAAAAAAGTGAAGATTTGTTGAAATCGGTTGAAAAATGTAGGAAATCCGATCCAATATATAAACTTACACACACACACACACACACACACACAACCTGGGTTTTATAATAAGTATGATATTGTTTATCAGGGGCGTGTATCTCGTCTTTCCATATTTACCTCCAGTGTTAGTTTGTCAATGTCTACACTAATTCTAATATTAATATTTGTTGTAAAGGAAAGCATTATTCCTTCTAAGCATTAAATTGATGGTAAATCGTGACTGGTTTAAAAACAAAACTAATACTTGTAATTCTTGTTTATCGAGGGCGTGTATCTCGTTTTTCCATATTCACCTTCACAGACACACACACAACACAGACACACAAACACACACACGTACACGTAGATATATAATAATCCTTTGGTGAATCCAAATAAAACCTAATAATAAAAAGATAATAATAATAAGAGGTCAATGTATTTTTTATGTCAGAGCAATAATACATCAACTGTTGACAATCCAACATTGGTCGAAATATCTATTCGCAAGAGGTATAATTGGATTCCTTTTTTATGATATATATATATATATATATATATATATATATATATATATATATATATATATATATATATATATATATATATATATATATATATATATATACTTGAAAATTTTTTTTGAGTTACAAAATCCTACTACATCAATAAAAGTGTGTAGCTTAATATTACAAGACATGTTAAAAAGCGGAGCAAACGGTTTCGCTCCCGCTCTTCAGGTCTCTTCGGAAGATTTAACTTAAATTAAAACAATAGAAAATGTGAAATGAGAAGGAAAAGAGGAAAAAAATGAATAAAAGGATCTAGAGACAAATAACAGCGAGCCGCAACAAACATTCACGCTGTTTAAACATGGATGACTTGCGGGACCCGATATAAAATGCCTCCAGTACCTTGAGATGAAATAACGTGTGCGACAGGGATAGAACAGTGAGCCAATCAACACTAAAATTAGCAGCACACCCTGTGTTATTTAAGAGGTTCTCACATATGGCGGAACCATATGTATTTGGGACACGTCCATTCAGACTAAGCTAAAGTTGCAGGAAGAAATAAATAAAAGTCGTCTTCTCCTTTGAAGTCTTAAGATTTTTAAAATTATAATTATGGAGAAATAAATTTCGTCTTTTTTTTAAGTTGCTCTTCTTCCCAAACCAGGGGTATTTTAGTGGTTGGGAAATTAAAATTAAAATAAAATATCGCATTTTCTCAAATGTTTTTGATAGATTATAATTTATATTTTTCTCTTATTGTACATGAAATTGGAAAATATTTGCATTATGTTTAATTAATAAATTGATTAATTGAAATTCCAATATCAAGGGATACTGATGAGATTTAAGAGTAAAATCTTTGAAGGATTTTAGTTGATTTTGATAGTAAATGATAATGCAAATAGGTTTTAATAAATATTTGTGTTTTATAGTTTTATTGCCCGAATGATGCTTACCTATGATATAATTTATGAATCTGTGATAACAAAATAGCCTTCGTTTTTAAGTAAAAAAATATTAGGAAAAGGCTATTTTGCCGGTCCCTGGACAATAACGACCCCCTTCGTTATTTCTTTTCAACATAACTGTTATGTCGTTATAAAAGAAGTCTAAATTATTAAACAGTTTACTTATTTGCTTATCTTCAACATACGCAATCCCAAGATTTTCAGCTTATTTTTAAAGGAATGCTGTCTTCATGGAAGCAGCAGGAGCCAGCCTTGTACGCTTTTCTTAGCTGCTGTTTTCGGGAAATTCTGAAAATAATCTTTGATTTCTTTTCAAGTGATTGTGAGAAAAAGTTTTCAAATTTTATTATTTATGGTAAAAGAAAATTATTTAAGGTTTCAGATGAAAAGCAACAAGTTTATTTTCCCGATTAAACAGAACAAAAGGGCGTCCAAAGCTGACTCCTGTTGCTAATTTAAAGCCGACACTCTTTAGAAAAAGTTGAAAAATTCGGGAGTGGGTATCTTGATAATTTTTTTATTACACAAAAATGTTTTTTTTCTAAAAAAATGTCAGGTATACATAGATCTTTCGCCACATGTGTATGTGTGTTGCGGTAACTTTTAACTTACATAATTTTCTAAACAATTATTATTATTATTATTAACTTCATAATAACTTCTTACTTTGACTTTCCCGAGTTAATAGTGTGACGGGGATATTTTTATTCACCATTTAAATTTTGAATATAGCTAAAATCTTTCAATTCTTTTCTGCCTATTATCACAACAAAGGTAAAGAAGTCACGAATTTACATTTTTTTTGTATCCAATTGCATACAACACGAATTCCGAGAAATCTGTGAAGCTGAAAAATAAGATCCTGTCTATAGTATATCATGTTACGCTGGGGTTACTTGTACTTTTATATTATGTCATTGTAATGTGTACGGTAAAATCGAAGAAGATAATATGATTAGATATGATCTTGGGAGATTTATTGGTGTATTACCGTTTGAGATATTTAAATTATATTTATGTATTTGTAATTTGGAGGTTTGTAAGTATATATATATATATATATATATATATATATATATATATATATATAAATCCAATGAATCTGAGAAGCTGAAATGAATGAGATCCTCAGGTTTTATTGTCTACATCAATTGGAGTAAAATTTTTTCTTGTTGATACGTTGGCAGAATGGAACAAATTGCGGAATTAACTAAGGTGCTACAAGTCACTTTACAACAACAATTCCAACAACAACAATTTATTCAGCAACAAGAAAAATTTGAAACGTTATTCAAACACCAGGTAAAAGACAAGAAATCACTTTTGGAAGACGTATTATCTAGGACAATAAAAGAACCGGGTTCTAGATATTTTTTTTCTGCTGAAGGAATTTCAAATTCACTCTCAGAATTTAAATACGACCCTGACAGTGGTCCAACGTTTCTGGCTTATTTTTGTAGATTTGAAACAATATTTACGAAGAGATGCGAACAAATGTCCGACAAAGAAAAAAATCACTCTATTTTTGCAGAAGTTAGGAACAGAAGAAAATACAAAATACGTGAATTTAATCATCTCCAATTTAAGCCAAAAGAAATTACATTTAGTGAAACAGTAGAAATTTGTGGAAAATTTTCGATAAAAGTGTCTGTTTCATATACGATACAAGTGTCTAAATATCGTAAAACGAGATGATGATGATTTTGTCACGTATGCAGGTATGATTAACGCACAGTGTGAGGCGTTTAAATTAAAGGAATTGTCAAGCGACATGTTCAAGTATCTAATTTTTGTGCAGGGTCAAACGACACCGAAGGACAAAGAAATTAGATCAAGAATGCTCACTATCATGGAACAGGATCCGAAGATTACGTTACAAAAAGTAACGGAAGAATGTCAGCGACTTATAAACATAAAAAATAATACTCGGATTGTGGAGAAGAGCATTTCGCCAGTACAAACTTTAAGACAACAGAAGTGGATACAAAATAAAGAAAGAAAAATGATATGCACTTCGTGTGGAGGACAGCATATAAAGAAGGATTGTTTCTTTAAGGATAAAATATGTTTTAACTGTGTGTGTGTAGGCCATAGAAGTTCCCATTGTCGGGCAAAACGGGCAAAGTAATAGCAAAGTCACAAAGGTGAACGTAGTTTTGTCTAAAAACAAAATTGAGGAGGATCAAAGAAGAAAATACGTCAATGTAAAAATAAATGGGAAGACCGTAAAATTATTATTCGATTCAGGAAGTGATATCTCGGTAATAAACGAGCAAACATGGAAAAAAAGTCGGTTACCCGCCGTTGACTAACACAGAGAAAATTGCCAGGTGAGTGTCAGGAAAAAGGCTTAAGTTTAGATGTGAATTAAAATGTAACATTTCGTTCATGGGAAAAATTCAGAAATCGAAAATGTATGTGCTTCCTGGTTCAGTAACTCTATTTGGCTTAGATTGGGATCGTATTGTTTAATTTATGGGAATTACCGGTAAATTCTTTGTGTAACAAAGTTAACCTCATAGAGAACTATAAGACGAAGCAAACAGAAAGATTTATCACGGATTTGAAAGGCGAATTCCCTCGCGTATTTTCAGAAGGACTAGGTCTGTGAACAAAAGCGGAAATCAACTTCGAATTGAAAGAAAATATTAAACCAATCTTTAAACCAAAGAGAAAAGTACCATTTT